GTTTCTGTCATAAATCCTACAAGTATTATGAGTTGAAAAATGCGTTGCAAATGATTCGCCAAATGGAAGTTGTATTTATTACTAATAACAAGCTCCATCTAGTTGAATTGCATAACGATTATCTTGAATATGCATGTGAAAATGTACTCAAAGTCAGGTGGGGAAAAGCGTTTTTTCTAACATAATGTTCTGAAAATATGAAAAGTATTGTGCAAGTGTGAAGAAATTTGAAAAAGATTTGAGCTATAAAGCATCAGAGTAAAAAATAGTTAATAAGAATATGAATGCAGAGAACAATTATTGAATTCAGATAGATATGGAAAGGAATTATAATTACAAGGCACTCCCTTTGATATACCTCGAATTCAGAACTTGGTACCATGTAATGTGCAGATTGTTGTTATTATGTGAAACGTGTTGATTCCTTAAAGGAACTACTACATGAAAAGACCTATTTACCTGTTGAGAAAGTACCTGTAGGCAAATCAGTTGAAGTAGAACTTTCAAATGTAGTTGTTGCACGTTCAGATGTTTTAGTTAGATCAGTCCCAGAAACCAAGGTATAATCAGTTCCTTCAGTGGCCGTTTCTTCTGTTGTAATAATGTTCTGAGTAGATTTAGTTTGAGCTGTTGTTTCAAATGTTTCTTGGGTAGAAATTGGTGGTAATGTTGATGACACAACATCAGATGTTGTTGTTTCTGTTATAAATCCTACAAGTATGATGAGTTGAATCAATGCATTGTAAAATGACTCCCCAATGGAAGTTGTATTTACTAATAATACTAAGGTGCATTTAGTTGAATTGCATAAAGATTATCTTGAATGTGCATGTGACAATGTACTCAAAGTCAGGTGGGAAAAAGCGTTTTTTCTAACATGATGTTCTGGTAAAATGAAAAGAATTGTCCAATTGTGAAGACATTTGAAAAAGATTTAGGCTATAAAGCACCAGGGTAAAATAAAGTACATAACATTATGTGAACTGAATGCAGAAAACAATTAGTGAATTCAGATAGATATGGAAAAGAATTATAGTTACAAGGCACTCCCTTTGATATACCTTGAATTTAGAAATTGGTACCATGTAATGTGCAGATTGTTGTTGTTATGTGAAACGTGTTGATTCTTTAAAGGAACTACTACATGAAAAGACCTATTTACCCGTTGAGAAAGTACCTGTAGGCAAATCAGTTGAAGTAGAACTTTCAAATGTAGTTGTTGCAGGTTCAGATGTTTTAGTTAGATCAGTACCAGAAACCAAGGTATAATCAGTTTCTTCAGTGGCCGTTTCTTCTGTTGTAATAATGTTCTGAGTAGATTCAGTTTGAGCTGTTGTTTCAAATGTTTCTCGGGTGGAAATTGGTGGTAATGTTGATGACACAACATCAGAAGTTGTTTTTTCTGTTATAAATCCTACAAGTATGATGAGTTGAATCAATGCATTGTAAAATGATTCCCCAAATGGAAGTTGTATTTACTAATAATACTACGGTGCATCTTCAATGTGCATGTGACAATGTACTCAAAGTCAGGTGGGAAAAAGCGTTTTTTCTAACATGATGTTCTGGAAAAATTCAAAGAATTGTCCAAATGCGTAGACATTTGAAAAAGGTTTAGGCTATAAAGCACCAGAGTAAAGAAAAGTACATAAGAATATGCGAACTGAATGCAGAGAACAATTAGTGAATTCAGATAGATATGGAAAAGAATTATAGTTACAAGGCACTCCCTTTGAAATACCTTGAATTGTGTACTTGGTAGCATGTAATGTGCAGATTGTTGTTATTATGTGAAACGTGTTGATTCCTGAAAGAAACTACCACATGAAAAGACCTATTTACCTGTTGAGAAAGTACCTGTAGGCAAATCAGTTGAAGTAGAACTTTCAAATGTAGTTGTTGCACGTTCAGATGTTTTAGTAAGATCAGTCCCAGAAACCAAGGTATAATCAGTTCCTTCAGTGGCCGTTTCTTCTGTTGTAATAATGTTCTGAGTAGATTTAGTTTGAGCTGTTGTTTCAAATGTTTCTTGGGTAGAAATTGGTGGTAATGTTGATGACACAACATCAGATGTTCTTGTTTCTGTTATAAATCCTACAAGTATGATGAGTTGAATCAATACATTGTAATATGATTCCCCAAATGGAAGTTGTATTTAATAATAATAATAAGGTGCATCTAGTTGATTTGCATAAAGATTATCTTGAATGTGCATGTGACAATGTACTCAAAGTCAGGTGGGAAAAAGCGTTTTTTCTAACATGATGTTCTGAAAAAATGAAAAGAATTGTCCAAATGCGAAGACATTTGAAAAAGATTTAGGCTATAAAGCACCAGGGAAAAGTAAAGTACATAAGAATATGCGAACTGAATGCAGAGAACAATTAGTGAATTCAGATAGATATGGAAAAGAATTATAGTTACAAGGCACTCCTTTTGAAATACCTTGAATTGTGTACTTGGTAGCATGTAATGTGCAGATTGTTGTTATTATGTGAAACGTGTTGATTCCTTAAAGAAACTACCACATGAGAAGACCTATTTACCTGTTGAGAAAGTACCTGTAGGCAAATCAGTTGAAGTAGAACTTTCAAATGTAGTTGTTGCACGTTCAGGTGTTTTAGTTAGATCAGTCCCAGAAACCAAGGTATAATCAGTGCCTTCAGTGGCCGTTTCTTCTGTTGTAATAATGTTCTGATTAGATTGAGTTTGAGCTGTTGTTTCAAATGTTTCTTGGGTAGAAATTGGTGGTAATGTTGATGACACAACATCAGATGTTGTTGTTTCTGTTATAAATCCTACAAGTATGATGAGTTGAATCAATGCATTGTAAAATGACTCCCCAATGGAAGTTGTATTTACTAATAATACTAAGGTGCATTTAGTTGAATTGCATAAAGATTATCTTGAATGTGCATGTGACAATGTACTCAAAGTCAGGTGGGAAAAAGCGTTTTTTCTAACATGATGTTCTGGTAAAATGAAAAGAATTGTCCAATTGTGAAGACATTTGAAAAAGATTTAGGCTATAAAGCCCCAGGGTAAAATAAAGTACATAACATTATGTGAACTGAATGCAGAAAACAATTAGTGAATTCAGATAGATATGGAAAAGAATTATAGTTACAAGGCACTCCCTTTGATATACCTTGAATTTAGAACTTGGTACCATGTAATGTGCAGATTGTTGTTGTTATGTGAAACGTGTTGATTCCTTAAAGGAACTACTACATGAAAAGACCTATTTACCCGTTGAGAAAGTACCTGTAGGCAAATCAGTTGAAGTAGAACTTTCAAATGTAGTTGTTGCACGTTCAGATGTTTTAGTTAGATCAGTACCAGAAACCAAGGTATAATCAGTTTCTTCAGTGGCCGTTTCTTCTGTTGTAATAATGTTCTGAGTAGATTCAGTTTGAGCTGTTGTTTCAAATGTTTCTCGGGTGGAAATAGGTGGTAATGTTGATGACACAACATCAGAAGTTGTTGTTTCTGTTATAAATCCTACAAGTATGATGAGTTGAATCAATGCATTGTAAAATGATTCCCCAAATGGAAGTTGTATTTACTAATAATACTAAGGTGCATCTTCAATGTGCATGTGACAATGTACTCAAAGTCAGGTGGGAAAAAGCGTTTTTTCTAACATGATGTTCTGGAAAAATTCAAAGAATTGTCCAAATGCGAAGACATTTGAAAAAGGTTTAGGCTATAAAGCACCAGAGTAAAGTAAAGTACATAAGAATATGCAAACTGAATGCAGAGAACAATTAGTGAATTCAGATAGATATGGAAAAGAATTATAGTTACAAGGCACTCCCTTTGAAATACCTTGAATTGTGTACTTGGTACCATGTAATGTGCAGATTGTTGTTATTATGTGAAACGTGTTGATTCCTTAAAGAAACTACCACATGAAAAGACCTATTTACCTGTTGAGAAAGTACCTGTAGGCAAATCAGTTGAAGTAGAACTTTCAAATGTAGTTGTTGCACGTTCAGATGTTTTAGTAAGATCAGTCCCAGAAACCAAGATATAATCAGTTCCTTCAGTGGCCGTTTCTTCTGTTGTAATAATGTTCTGAGTAGATTTAGTTTGAGCTGTTGTTTCAAATGTTTCTTGGGTAGAAATTGGTGGTAATGTTGATGACACAACATCAGATGTTCTTGTTTCTGTTATAAATCCTACAAGTATGATGAGTTGAATCAATGCATTGTAAAATGATTCCCCAAATGGAAGTTGTATTTACTAATATTAATAAGGTGCATCTAGTTGAAATGCGTAAAGATTATCTTGAATGTGCATGTGACAATGTACTCAAAGTCAGGTGGAAAAAAGCGTTTTTTCTAACATGATGTTCTGGAAAAATGAAAAGGATTGTCCAATTGCGAAGACATTTGAAAAAGATTTAGGCTACAAAGCACCAGGGTAAAGTAAAGTACATAAGAATATGTGAACTGAATGCAGAAAACAATTAGTGAATTCAGATAGATATGGAAAAGAAATACAGTTACAAGGCACTCCCTTCGATATACCTTGAATTGTGTACTTGGTACCATGTAATGTGCAGATTGTTGTTATTATGTGAAACGTGTTGATTCCTTAAAGAAACTACCACATGAAAAGACCTATGTACCTGTTGAGAAAGTACCTGTAGGCAAATCAGTTGAAGTAGAACTTTCAAATGTAGTTGTTGCACGTTCAGATGTTTTAGTAAGATCAGTCCCAGAAACCAAGGTATAATCAGTTCCTTCAGTGGCCGTTTCTTCTGTTGTAATAATGTTCTGAGTAGATTTAGTTTGAGCTGTTGTTTCAAATGTTTCTTGGGTAGAAATTGGTGGTAATGTTGATGACACAACATCAGATGTTCTTGTTTCTGTTATAAATCCTACAAGTATGATGAGTTGAATCAATGCATTGTAAAATGATTCCCCAAATGGAAGTTGTATTTACTAATATTAATAAGGTGCATCTAGTTGAAATGCGTAAAGATTATCTTGAATGTGCATGTGACAATGTACTCAAAGTCAGGTGGGAAAAAGCGTTTTTTCTAACATGATGTTCTGGAAAAATTCAAAGAATTGTCCAAATGCGAAGACATTTGAAAAAGATTTAGGCTATAAAGCACCAGGGTAAAGTAAAGTACATAAGAATATGCGAACTGAATGCAGAGAACAATTAGTGAATTCAGATAGATATGGAAAAGAATTATAGTTACAAGGCACTCCTTTTGAAATACCTTGAATTGTGTACTTGGTAGCATGTAATGTGCAGATTGTTGTTATTATGTGAAACGTGTTGATTCCTTAAAGAAACTACCACATGAGAAGACCTATTTACCTGTTGAGAAAGTACCTGTAGGCAAATCAGTTGAAGTAGAACTTTCAAATGTAGTTGTTGCACGTTCAGGTGTTTTAGTTAGATCAGTCCCAGAAACCAAGGTATAATCAGTTCCTTCAGTGGCCGTTTCTTCTGTTGTCATAATGTTCTGATTAGATTGAGTTTGAGCTGTTGTTTCAAATGTTTCTTGGGTAGAAATTGGTGGTAATGTTGATGACACAACATCAGATGTTGTTGTTTCTGTTATAAATCCTACAAGTATGATGAGTTGAATCAATGCATTGTAAAATGATTCCCCAAATGGAAGTTGTATTTACTAATAATACTAAGGTGCATTTAGTTGAATTGCATAAAGATTATCTTGAATGTGCATGTGACAATGTACTCAAAGTCAGGTGGGAAAAAGCGTTTTTTCTAACATGATGTTCTGGTAAAATGTAAAGAATTGTCCAATTGCGAAGACATTTGAAAAAGATTTAGGCTATAAAGCACCAGGGTAAAATAAAGTACATAACATTATGTGAACTGAATGCAGAAAACAATTAGTGAATTCAGACAGATATGGAAAAGAATTATAGTTACAAGGCACTCCCTTTGATATACCTTGAATTTTGAACTTGGTACCATGTAATGTGCAGATTGTTGTTGTTATGTGAAACGTGTTGATACCTTAAAGGAACTACTACATGAAAAGACCTATTTACCCGTTGAGAAAGTACCTGTAGGCAAATCAGTTGAAGTAGAACTTTCAAATGTAGTTGTTGCACGTTCAGATGTTTTAGTTAGATCAGTACCAGAAACCAAAGTATAATCAGTTTCTTCAGTGGCCGTTTCTTCTGTTGTAATAATGTTCTGAGTAGATTCAGTTTGAGCTGTTGTTTCAAATGTTTCTCGGGTGGAAATTGGTGGTAATGTTGATGACACAACATCAGAAGTTGTTGTTTCTGTTATAAATCCTACAAGTATGATGAGTTGAATCAATGCATTGTAAAATGATTCCCCAAATGGAAGTTGTATTTACTAATAATACTAAGGTGCATCTTCAATGTGCATGTGACAATGTACTCAAAGTCAGGTGGGAAAAAGCGTTTTTTCTAACATGATGTTCTGGAAAAATTCAAAGAATTGTCCAAATGCGAAGACATTTGAAAAAGGTTTAGGCTATAAAGCACCAGAGTAAAGTAAAGTACATAAGAATATGCGAACTGAATGCAGAGAACAATTAGTGAATTCAGATAGATATGGAACAGAATTATAGTTACAAGGCACTCCCTTTGAAATACCTTGAATTGTGTACTTGGTACCATGTAATGTGCAGATTGTTGTTATTATGTGAAACGTGTTGATTCCTTAAAGAAACTACCACATGAAAAGACCTATTTACCTGTTGAGAAAGTACCTGTAGGCAAATCAGTTGAAGTAGAACTTTCAAATGTAGTTGTTGCACGTTCAGATGTTTTAGTAAGATCAGTCCCAGAAACCAAGGTATAATCAGTTCCTTCAGTGGCCGTTTCTTCTGTTGTAATAATGTTCTGAGTAGATTTAGTTTGAGCTGTTGTTTCAAATGTTTCTTGGGTAGAAATTGGTGGTAATGTTGATGACACAACATCAGATGTTCTTGTTTCTGTTATAAATCCTACAAGTATGATGAGTTGAATCAATGCATTGTAAAATGATTCTCCAAATGGAAGTTGTATTTACTAATAATACTAAGGTGCATCTAGTTGAAATGCGTAAAGATTATCTTGAATGTGCATGTGACAATGTACTCAAAGTCAGGTGGGAAAAAGCGTTTTTTCTAACATGATGTTCTGGAAAAATGAAAAGGATTGTCCAATTGCGAAGACATTTGAAAAAGATTTAGGCTATAAAGCACCAGGGTAAAGTAAAGTACATAAGAATATGTGAACTGAATGCAGAAAACAATTAGTGAATTCAGATAGATATGGAAAAGAAATACAGTTACAAGGCACTCCCTTCGATATACCTTGAATTGTGTACTTGGTAACATGTAATGTGCAGATTGTTGTTATTATGTGAAACGTGTTAATTCCTTAAAGAAACTACCACATGAAAAGACCTATTTACCTGTTGAGAAAGTACCTGTAGGCAAATCAGTTGAAGTAGAACTTTCAAATGTACTTGTTGCACGTTCAGATGTTTTAGTAAGATCCGTCCCAGAAACCATGGTATAATCAGTTCCTTCAGTGGCCGTTTCTTCTGTTGTAATCATGTTCTGAGTAGATTTAGTTTGAACTGTTGTTTCAAATGTTGCTTGGGTGGAAATTGGTGGCAATGTTGATGACACAACATCAGATGTTGTTGTTTCTGTTATAATTCCTACAAGTATGATAGCTGAATAAATGCATTGTAAAATGATTCCCCAAATGGAAGTTGTATTTACTAATATTAATAAGATGCATCTAGTTGAAATGCGTAAAGATTATCTTGAATGTGCATGTGACAATGTACTCAAAGTCAGGTGGGAAAAAGCGTTTTTTCTAACATGAATTGAGAACTTGGTACCATGTAATGTCCAGTATGTTGTTATTATGTAAAACATGTTCAAACCAAAGAAACTACCACATGAGAAGACCTATTTACCTGTCGAGAAAGTACCTGTAGGCAAATCAGTTGAAGTAGAACTTTCAAATGTAGTTGTTGCACGTTCAGATGTTTTAGTAAGATCAGTCCCAGAAACCAAGGTATAATCAGTTCCTTCAGTGGCCGTTTCTTCTGTTGTAATAATGTTCTGAGTAGATTTAGTTTGAGCTGTTGTTTCAAATGTTTCTTGGGTAGAAATTGGTGGTAATGTTGATGACACAACATCAGATGTTGTTGTTTCTGTCATAATTCCTACAAGTATGATAGCTGAATAAATGCATTGTAAAATGATTCCCCAAATGGAAGTTGTATTTACTAATATTAATAAGATGCATCTAGTTGAAATGCGTAAAGATTATCTTGAATGTGCATGTGACAATGTACTCAAAGTCAGGTGGGAAAAAGCGTTTTTTCTAACATGATGTTCTGGAAAAATGAAAAGGATTGTCCAATTGCGAAGACATTTGAAAAAGATTTAGGCTATAAAGCACCAGGGTAAAGTAAAGTACATAAGAATATGTGAACTGAATGCAGAAAACAATTAGTGAATTCAGATAGATATGGAAAAGAAATACAGTTACAAGGCACTCCCTTCGATATACCTTGAATTGTGTACTTGGTAACATGTAATGTGCAGATTGTTGTTATTATGTGAAACGTGTTGATTCCTTAAAGAAACTACTACATGAAAAGACCTATTTACCTGTTGAGAAAGTACCTGTAGGCAAATCAGTTGAAGTAAAACTTTCAAATGTACTTGTTGCACGTTCAGATGTTTTAGTAAGATCCGTCCCAGAAACCATGGTATAATCAGTTCCTTCAGTGGCCGTTTCTTCTGTTGTAATAATGTTCTGAGTAGATTTAGTTTGAGCTGTTGTTTCAAATGTTGCTTGGGTGGAAATTGGTGGCAATGTTGATGACACAACATCAGATGCTGTTGTTTCTGTCATAATTCCTACAAGTATGATAGCTGAATAAATGCATTGTAAAATGATTCCCCAAATGGAAGTTGTATTTACTAATATTAATAAGATGCATCTAGTTGAAATGCGTAAAGATTATCTTGAATGTGCATGTGACAATGTACTCAAAGTCAGGTGGGAAAAAGCGTTTTTTCTAACATGAATTGAGAACTTGGTACCATGTAATGTCCAGTATGTTGTTATTATGTAAAACATGTTCAAACCAAAGAAACTACCACATGAGAAGACCTATTTACCTGTCGAGAAAGTACCTGTAGGCAAATCAGTTGAAGTAGAACCTTCAAATGTAGTTGTTGCATGTTCAGATGTTTTAGTTAGATCAGTCCCAGAAACCAAGGTATAACCAGTTCCTTCAGTGGCCGTTTCTTCTGTTGTAATAATGTTCTGAGTAGATTTAGTTTGAGCTGTTGTTTCAAATGTTTCTTGGGTAGAAATTGGTGGTAATGTTGATGACACAACATCAGATGTTCTTGTTTCTGTTATAAATCCTACAAGTATGATGAGTTGAATCAATGCATTGTAAAATGAATCCCCAAATAGAAGATGTATTTACTAATATTAATAAGGTGCATCTAGTTGAAATGCGTCAAGATTATCTTAAATGTGCATGTGACAATGTACTCAAAGTCAGGTGGGAAAACGCGTTTTTTCTAACATGATGTTCTGGGAAAAATGAAAAGAATTGTCCAATTGCGAAGACATTTGAAAAAGATTTAGGCTATAAAGCAACAGGGTAAAATAAAGTACATAAGAATATGTGAACTGAATGCAGAAAACAATTAGTGAATTCAGATAGATATGGAAAATAATTATAGTTACAAGGCACTCCCTTTGATATACCTTGAATTTAGAACTTGGTACCATGTAATGTGCAGATTGTTTTTATTATGTGAAACGTGTTGATTCCTTAAAGGAACTACTACATGAAAAGACCTATTTACCTGTTGAGAAAGTACCTGTAGGCAAATCAGTTGAAGTAGAACTTTCAAATGTACTTGTTGCACGTTCAGATGTTTTAGTTAGATCAGTCCCAGAAACCAATGTATAATCAGTTCCTTCAGTGGCCGTTTCTTCTGTTGTAATAATGTTCTGAGCAAATTCAGTTTGAGCTGTTGTTTCAAATGTTTCTTGGGTAGAAATTGGTGGCAATGTTGATGACACAACATCAGATGTTGTTGTTTCTGTTATAAATCCTACAAGTATGATGAGTTGAATCAATGCATTGTAAAATGATTCCCCAAATGGAAGTTGTATTTACTAATATTAATAAGGTGCATCTAGTTGATATGCGTAAAGATTATCTTGAATGTGCATGTGACAATGTACTCAAAGTCAGGTGGGAAAAAGCGTTTTTTCTAACATGATGTTCTGGAAAAATTCAAAGAATTGTCCGAATGCGAAGACATTTGAAAAAGATTTAGGCTATAAAGCACCAGGGTAAAGTAAAGTACATAAGAATATGCGAACTGAATACAGAGAACAATTAGTGAATTCAGATAGATATGGAAAAGAATTATAGTTACAAGGCACTCCCTTTGAAATACCTTGAATTGTGTACTTGGTAGCATGTAATGTGCAGATTGTTGTTATTATGTGAAACATGTTGATTCCTTAAAGGAACTACTACATGAAAAGACCTATTTACCTGTTGAGAAAGTACCTGTAGGCAAATCAGTTGAAGTAGAACTTTCAAATGTAGTTGTTGCTAGTTCAGATGTTTTAGTTAGATCAGTCCCAGAAACCAAGGTATAATCAGTTCCTTCAGTGGCCGTTTCTTCTGTTGTAATAATGTTCTGAGTAGATTCAGTTTGAGCTGTTGTTTCAAATGTTTCTTGGGTGGAAATTGGTGGTAATGTTGATGACACAACATCAGATGTTGTTGTTTCTGTTATAAATCCTACAAGTATGATGAGTTGAATCAATGCATTGTAAAATGATTCCCCTAATGGAAGTTGTATTTACTAATAATACTAAGGTGCATCTAGTTGAATTGCATAAAGATTATCTTAAATGTGCATGTGACAATGTACTCAAAGTCAGGTAGGAAAAAGCGTTATTTCTAACATGATGTTCTGGAAAAATGAAAAGAATTGTTCAATTGCGAAGACATTTGAAAAAGATTTAGGCTATAAAGCACCAGGGTAAAGTAAAGTACATAAGAATAAGGAAAATGAATGCAGAGAACAATTAGTGAATTCAGATTGACATGGAAAAGAATTATAGTTATAAGGCACTCCCTTTGATATACCTTGAATTGAGAACTTGGTACCATGTAATGTGCAGATTGTTGTTATTATGTGAACCGTGTTGATTCCTTAAAGGTAATACTACATGAAAAGACCTATTTACCTGTTGAGAAAGTACCTGTAGGCATATCAGTTGAAGTAGAACTTTCAAATGTAGTTGTTGCACGTTCAGATGTTTTAGTTAGATCAGTCCCAGAAACCAAGGTATAACCAGTTCCTTCAGTGGCCGTTTCTTCTGTTGTAATAATGTTCTGAGTAGATTTAGTTTGAGCTGTTGTTTCAAATGTTTCTTGGGTGGAAATTGGTGGCAATGTTGATGACACAACATCAGATGTTGTTGTTTCTGTTATAATTCCTACAAGTATGATAGCTGAATAAATGCATTGTAAAATGATTCCCCAAATGGAAGTTGTATTTACTAATATTAATAAGATGCATCTAGTTGAAATGCGTAAAGATTATCTTGAATGTGCATGTGACAATGTACTCAAAGTCAGGTGGGAAAAAGCGTTTTTTCTAACATGAATTGAGAACTTGGTACCATGTAATGTCCAGTATGTTGTTATTATGTAAAACATGTTCAAACCAAAGAAACTACCACATGAGAAGACCTATTTACCTGTCGAGAAAGTACCTGTAGGCAAATCAGTTGAAGTAGAACCTTCAAATGTAGTTGTTGCATGTTCAGATGTTTTAGTTAGATCAGTCCCAGAAACCAAGGTATAACCAGTTCCTTCAGTGGCCGTTTCTTCTGTTGTAATAATGTTCTGAGTAGATTTAGTTTGAGCTGTTGTTTCAAATGTTTCTTGGGTAGAAATTGGTGGTAATGTTGATGACACAACATCAGATGTTCTTGTTTCTGTTATAAATCCTACAAGTATGATGAGTTGAATCAATGCATTGTAAAATGATTCTCCAAATAGAAGATGTATTTACTAATATTAATATGGTGCATCTAGTTGAAATGCGTCAAGATTATCTTAAATGTGCATGTGACAATGTACTCAAAGTCAGGTGGGAAAAAGCGTTTTTTCTAACATGATGTTCTGGAAAAATTCAAAGAATTGTCCAAATGCGAAGACATTTGATAATGATTTAGGCTATAAAGCACCAGGGTAAAGTAAAGTACATAAGAATACGTGAAATGAATGCAGAAAACAATTAGTGAATTCAGATAGATATGGAAAAGAATTATAGTTACAAGGCACTCCCTTTGATATACCTTGAATTGAGAACTTGGTACCATGTAATGTCCAGTATGTTTTTATTATGTAAAACATGTTCAAACCTAAAGAAACTACCACATGAGAAGACCTATTTACCTGTTGAGAAAGTACCTGTAGGCAAATCAGTTGAAGTAGAACTTTCAAATGTAGTTGTTGCATCTTCAGATGTTTTAGTTAGATCAGTCCCAGAAACCAAGGTATAATCAGTTCCTTCAGTGGCCGTTTCTTCTGTTGTAATAATGTTATGAGTAGATTTAGTTTGAGCTGTTGTTTCAAATGTTTCTTGGGTAGAAATTGGTGGTAATGTTGATGACACAACATCAGATGTTCTTGTTTCTGTTATAAATCCTACAAGTATGATGAGTTGAATCAATGCATTGTAAAATGATTCCCCAAATGGAAGTTGTATTTACTAATATTAATAAGGTGCATCTAGTTGAAATGCGTAAAGATTATCTTGAATGTGCATGTGACAATGTACTCAAAGTCAGGTGGGAAAAAGCGTTTTTTCTAACATGATGTTCTGGAAAAATGAAAAGGATTGTCCAATTGCGAAGACATTTGAAAACGATTTAGGCTATAAAGCACCAGGGTAAAGTAAAGTACATAAGAATATGTGAACTGAATGCAGAAAACAATTAGTGAATTCAGATAGATATGGAAAAGAAATACAGTTACAAGGCACTCCCTTCGATATACCTTGAATTGTGTACTTGGTACCATGTAATGTGCAGATTGTTGTTATTATGTGAAACGTGTTGATTCCTTAAAGAAACTACCACATGAAAAGACCAATTTACCTGTTGAGAAAGTACCTGTAGGCAAATCAGTTGAAGTAGAACTTTCAAATGTAGTTGTTGCACGTTCAGATGTTTTAGTAAGATCAGTCCCAGAAACCAAGGTATAATCAGTTCCTTCAGTGGCCGTTTCTTCTGTTGTAATAATGTTCTGAGTAGATTTAGTTTGAGCTGTTGTTTCAAATGTTGCTTGGGTGGAAATTGGTGGCAATGTTGATGACACAACATCAGATGTTGTTGTTTCTGTTATAATTCCTACAAGTATGATGAGTTGAATCAATGCATTGTAAAATGATTACCCAAATGGAAGTTGTATTTACTAATATTAATAAGGTGCATCTAGTTGAAATGCGTAAAGATTATCTTGAATGTGCATGTGACAATGTACTCAAAGTCAGGTGGGAAAAAGCGTTTTTTCTAACATGATGTTCTGGAAAAATTCAAAGAATTGTCCAAATGCGAAGACATTTGAAAAAGATTTAGGCTATAAAGCACCAGGGTAAAGTAAAGTACATAAGAATATGCGAACTGAATGCAGAGAACAATTAGTGAATTCAGATAGATATGGAAAAGAATTATAGTTACATGGCACTCCTTTTGAAATACCTTGAATTGTGTACTTGGTAGCATGTAATGTGCAGATTGTTGTTATTATGTGAAACGTGTTGATTCCTTAAAGAAACTACCACATGAGAAGACCTATTTACCTGTTGAGAAAGTACCTGTAGGCAAATCAGTTGAAGTAGAACTTTCAAATGTAGTTGTTGCACGTTCAGGTGTTTTAGTTAGATCAGTCCCAGAAACCAAGGTATAATCAGTTCCTTCAGTGGCCGTTTCTTCTGTTGTCATAATGTTCTGATTAGATTGAGTTTGAGCTGTTGTTTCAAATGTTTCTTGGGCAGAAATTGGTGGTAATGTTGATGACACAACATCAGATGTTGTTGTTTCTGTTATAAATCCTAAAGTATGATGAGTTGAATCAATGCATTGTAAAATGATTCCCCAAATGGAAGTTGTATTTACTAATAATACTAAGGTGCATTTAGTTGAATTGCATAAAGATTATCTTGAATGTGCATGTGACAATGTACTCAAAGTCAGGTGGGAAAAAGCGTTTTTTCTAACATGATGTTCTGGTAAAATGAAAAGAATTGTCCAAATGCGAAGACATTTGAAAAAGATTTAGGCTATAAAGCACCAGGGTAAAATAAAGTACATAACATTATGTGAACTGAATGCAGAAAACAATAAGTGAATTCAGACGGATATGGAAAAGAATTATAGTTACAAGGCACTCCCTTTGATATACCTTGAATTTAGAACTTGGTACCATGTAATGTGCAGATTGTTGTTATTATGTGAAACGTGTTGATTCCTTAAAGAAACTACCACATGAAAAGACCTATTTACCTGTTGAGAAAGTACCTGTAGGCAAATCAGTTGAAGTAGAACTTTCAAATGTACTTGTTGCACGTTCAGATGTTTTAGTTAGATCAGTACCAGAAACCAAGGTATAATCAGTTTCTTCAGTGGCCGTTTCTTCTGTTGTAATAATGTTCTGAGTAGATTCAATTTGAGCTGTTGTTTCAAATGTTTCTCGGGTGGAAATAGGTGGTAATGTTGATGACACAACATCAGAAGTTGTTGTTTCTGTTATAAATCCTACAAGTATGATGAGTAGAATCAATGCATTGTAAAATGATTCCCCAAATGGAAGTTGTATTTACTAATAATACTAAGGTGCATCTTCAATGTGCATGTGACAATGTACTCAAAGTCAGGTGGGAAAAAGCGTTTTTTCTAACATGATGTTCTGGAAAAATTCAAAGAATTGTCCAAATGCGAAGACATTTGAAAAAGGTTTAGGCTATAAAGCACCAGAGTAAAGTAAAGTACATAAGAATATGCAAACTGAATGCAGAGAACAATTAGTGAATTCAGATAGATATGGAAAAGAATTATAGTTACAAGGCACTCCCTTTGAAATACCTTGAATTGTGTACTTGGTACAATGTAATGTGCAGATTGTTGTTATTATGTGAAACGTGTTGATTCCTTAAAGAAACTACCACATGAAAAGACCTATTTACCTGTTGAGAAAGTACCTGTAGGCAAATCAGTTGAAGTAGAACTTTCAAATGTAGTTGTTGCACGTTCAGATGTTTTAGTAAGATCAGTCCCAGAAACCAAGGTATAATCAGTTCCTTCAGTGGCCGTTTCTTCTGTTGTAATAATGTTCTGAGTAGATTTAGTTTGAGCTGTTGTTTCAAATGTTTCTTGGGTAGAAATTGGTGGTAATGTTGATGACACAAGATCAGATGTTCTTGTTTCTGTTATAAATCCTACAAGTATGATGAGTTGAATCAATGCATTGTAAAATGATTCCCCAAATGGAAGTTGTATTTACTAATATTAATAAGGTGCATCTAGTTGAAATGCGTAAAGATTATCTTGAATGTGCATGTGACAATGTACTCAAAGTCAGGTGGGAAAAAGCGTTTTTTCTAACATGATGTTCTGGAAAAATTCAAAGAATTGTCCAAATGCGAAGACATTTGAAAAAGATTTAGGCTATAGAGCACCAGGGTAAAGTAAAGTACATACGATTATGTGAACTGAATGCAGAGAACAATTAGTGAATTCAGATAGATATGGAAAAGAATTATAGTTACAAGGCACTCCTTTTGAAATACCTTGAATTGTGTACTTGGTAGCATGTAATGTGCAGATTGTTGTTATTATGTGAAACGTGTTGATTCCTTAAAGAAACTACCACATGAGAAGACCTATTTACCTGTTGAGAAAGTACCTGTAGGCAAATCAGTTGAAGTAGAACTTTCAAATGTAGTTGTTGCACGTTCAGGTGTTTTAGTTAGATCAGTCCCAGAAACCAAGGTATAATCAGTTCCTTCAGTGGCCGTTTCTTCTGTTGTCATAATGTTCTGATTAGATTGAGTTTGAGCTGTTGTTTCAAATGTTTCTTGGGTAGAAATTGGTGGTAATGTTGATGACACAACATCAGATGTTGTTGTTTCTGTTATAAATCCTACAATTATGATGAGTTGAATCAATGCATTGTAAAATGATTCCCCAAATGGAAGTTGTATTTACTAATAATACTAAGGTGCATTTAGTTGAATTGCATAAAGATTATCTTGAATGTGCATGTGACAATGTACTCAAAGTCAGGTGGGAAAAAGCGTTTTTTCTAACATGATGTTCTGGTAAAATGAACAGAATTGTCCAATTGCGAAGACATTTGAAAAAGATTTAGGCTATAAAGCACCAGGGTAAAATAAAGTACATAACATTATGTGAACTGAATGCAGAAAACAATTAGTGAATTCAGACAGATATGGAAAAGAATTATAGTTACAAGGCACTCCCTTTGATATACCTTGAATTTAGAACTTGGTACCATGTAATGTGCAGATTGTTGTTGTTATGTGAAACGTGTTGATACCTTAAAGGAACTACTACATGAAAAGACCTATTTACCCGTTGAGAAAGTACCTGTAGGCAAATCAGTTGAAGTAGAACTTTCAAATGTAGTTGTTGCACGTTCAGATGTTTTAGTTAGATCAGTACCAGAAACCAAGGTATAATCAGTTTCTTCAGTGGCCGTTTCTTCTGTTGTAATAATGTTCTGAGTAGATTCAGTTTGAGCTGTTGTTTCAAATGTTTCTCGGGTGGAAATTGGTGGTAATGTTGATGACACAACATCATAAGTTGTTGTTTCTGTTATAAATCCTACAAGTATGATGAGTTGAATCAATGCATTGTAAAATGATTCCCCAAATGGAAGTTGTATTTACTAATAATACTAAGGTGCATCTTCAATGTGCATGTGACAATGTACTCAAAGTCAGGTGGGAAAAAGCGTTTTTTCTAACATGATGTTCTGGAAAAATGAAAAGGATTGTCCAATTGCGAAGACATTTGAAAAAGATTTAGGCTATAAAGCACCAGGGTAAAGTAAAGTACATAAGAATATGTGAACTGAATGCAGAAAACAATTAGTGAATTCAGATAGATATGGAAAAGAATTATAGTTACAAGGCACTCCCTTCGATATACCTTGAATTGTGTACTTGGTACCATGTAATGTGCAGATTGTTGTTATTATGTGAAACGTGTTGATTCCTTAAAGAAACTACCACATGAAAAGACCAATTTACCTGTTGAGAAAGTACCTGTAGGCAAATCAGTTGAAGTAGAACTTTCAAATGTAGTTGTTGCACGTTCAGATGTTTTAGTTAGATCAGTCCCAGAAACCAAGGTATAACCAGTTCCTTCAGTGGCCGTTTCTTCTGTTGTAATAATGTTCTGAGTAGATTTAGTTTGAGCTGTTGTTTCAAATGTTTCTTGGGTAGAAATTGGTGGTAATGTTGATGACACAACATCAGATGTTCTTGTTTCTGTTATAATTCCTACAAGTATGATAGCTGAATAAATGCATTGTAAAATGATTCCCCAAATGGAAGTTGTATTTACTAATATTAATAAGATTCATCTAGTTGAAATGCGTAAAGATTATCTTGAATGTGCATGTGACAATGTACTCAAAGTCAGGTGGGAAAAAGCGTTTTTTCTAACATGAATTGAGAACTTGGTACCATGTAATGTCCAGTATGTTGTTATTATGTAAAACATGTTCAAACCAAAGAAACTACCACATGAGAAGACCTATTTACCTGTCGAGAAAGTACCTGTAGGCAAATCAGTTGAAGTAGAACCTTCAAATGTAGTTGTTGCATGTTCAGATGTTTTAGTTAGATCAGTCCCAGAAACCAAGGTATAACCAGTTCCTTCAGTGGCCGTTTCTTCTGTTGTAATAATGTTCTGAGTAGATTTAGTTTGAGCTGTTGTTTCAAATGTTTCTTGGGTAGAAATTGGTGGTAATGTTGATGACACAACATCAGATGTTCTTGTTTCTGTTATAAATCCTACAAGTATGATGAGTTGAATCAATGTATTGTAAAATGATTCCCCAAATAGAAGATGTATTTACTAATATTAATAAGGTGCATCTAGTTGAAATGCGTCAAGATTATCTTAAATGTGCATGTGACAATGTACTCAAAGTCAGGTGGGAAAAAGCGTTTTTTCTAACATGATGTTCTGGAAAAATTCAAAGAATTGTCCAAATGCGAAGACATTTGATAATGATTTAGGCTATAAAGCACCAGGGTAAAGTAAAGTACATAAGAATATGTGAACTGAATGCAGAGAACAATTAGTGAATTCAGATAGATATGGAAATAAATTATAGTTACAAGGCACTCCCTTTGATATACCTTGAATTGTGAACTTGGTACCATGTAATGTGCAGATTGTTGTTACTATATGAAACATGTTGATTCCTTAAAGGAACTACGACATGAAAAGACCTATTTACCTGTTGAGAATGTACCTGTAGGCAAATCATTTGAAGTAGAACTTTCAAATGTAGTTGTTGCACGTTCAGATGTTTTAGTTAGATCAGTCCCAGAAACCAATGTATAATCAGTCCTTCAGTGACCGTTTCTCTGTGTAATAATGTCTGAGTAGATTTAGTTTGAGCTGTTGTTTCAAATGTTTCTGGGTAGAAATTGGTGGTAATGTTGATGACACAAGATCAGATGTTCTTGTTTCTGTTATAAATCCTACAAGTATGATGAGTTGAATCAATGCATGTAAAATGATTCCCCAAATGGAAGTTGTATTTACTAATATTAATAAGGTGCATCTAGTTGAAATGCGTAAAGATTATCTTGAATGTGCATGTGACAATGTACTCAAAGTCAGGTGGGAAAAAGCGTTTTTTCTAACATGATGTTCTGGAATAATTCAAAGAATTGTCCAAATGCGAAGACATTTGAAAAAGATTTAGGCTATAGAGCACCAGGGTAAAGTAAAGTACATACGATTATGTGAACTGAATGCAGAGAACAATTAGTGAATTCAGATAGATATGGAAAAGAATTATAGTTACAAGGCACTCCTTTTGAAATACCTTGAATTGTGTACTTGGTAGCATGTAATGTGCAGATTGTTGTTATTATGTGAAACGTGTTGATTCCTTAAAGAAACTACCACATGAGAAGACCTATTTACCTGTTGAGAAAGTACCTGTAGGCAAATCAGTTGAAGTAGAACTTTCAAATGTAGTTGTTGCACGTTCAGGTGTTTTAGTTAGATCAGTCCCAGAAACCAAGGTATAATCAGTTCCTTCAGTGGCCGTTTCTTCTGTTGTCATAATGTTCTGATTAGATTGAGTTTGAGCTGTTGTTTCAAATGTTTCTTGGGTAGAAATTGGTGGTAATGTTGATGACACAACATCAGATGTTGTTGTTTCTGTTATAAATCCTAAAAGTATGATGAGTTGAATCAATGCATTGTAAAATGATTCCCCAAATGGAAGTTGTATTTACTAATAATACTAAGGTGCATTTAGTTGAATTGCATAAAGATTATCTTGAATGTGCATGTGACAATGTACTCAAAGTCAGGTGGGAAAAAGCGTTTTTTCTAACATGATGTTCTGGTAAAATGAAAAGAATTGTCCAAATGCGAAGACATTTGAAAAAGATTTAGGCTATAAAGCACCAGGGTAAAATAAAGTACATAACATTATGTGAACTGAATGCAGAAAACAATAAGTGAATTCAGACAGATATGGAAACGAATTATAGTTACAAGGCACTCCCTTTGATATACCTTGAATTTAGAACTTGGTACCATGTAATGTGCAGATTGTTGTTATTATGTGAAACGTGTTGATTCCTTAAAGAAACTACCACATGAAAAGACCTATTTACCTGTTGAGAAAGTACCTGTAGGCAAATCAGTTGAAGTAGAACTTTCAAATGTACTTGTTGCACGTTCAGATGTTTTAGTAAGATCCGTCCCAGAAACCATGGTATAATCAGTTCCTTCAGTGGCCGTTTCTTCTGTTGTAATAATGTTCTGAGTAGATTTAGTTTGAGCTGTTGTTTCAAATGTTTCTTGGGTAGAAATTAGTGGTAATGTTGATGACACAACATCAGATGTTGTTGTTTCTGTTATAAATCCTACAAGTATGATGAGTTGAATCAATGCATTGTAAAATGATTCCCCAAATGGAAGTTGTATTTACTAATATTAATAAGGTGCATCTAGTTGAAATGCGTAAAGATTATCTTGAATGTGCATGTGACAATGTACTCAAAGTCAGGTGAGAAAAAGCGTTTTTTCTAACATGATGTTCTGGAAAAATTCAAAGAATTGTCCAAATGCGAAGACATTTGAAAAAGGTTTAGGCTATAAAGCACCAGAGTAAAGTAAAGTACATAAGAATATGTGAACTGAATGCAGAGAACAATTAGTGAATTCAGATAGATATGGAAAAGAATTATAGTTACAAGGCACTCCCTTTGATATACCTTGAATTGAGAACTTGGTACCATGTAATGTCCAGTATGTTGTTATTATGTAAAACATGTTCAAACCTAAAGAAACTACAACATGAGAAGACCTATTTACCTGTTGAGAAAGTACCTGTAGGCAAATCAGTTGAAGTAGAACTTTCAAATGTAGTTGTTGCACGTTCAGATGTTTTAGTTAGATCAGTCCCAAAAACCAAGGTATAATCATTTCCTTCAGTGGCCGTTTCTTCTGTTGTAATAATGTTCTGAGTAGATTCAGTTTGAGCTAATGTTTCAAATGTTGCTTTGGTGGAAATTGGTGGCAATGTTGATGACACAACATCAGATGTTGTTTTTTCTGTTATAATTCCTACAAGTATGATAGCTGAATCAATGCATTGTAAAATGATTCCCCAAATGGAAGTTGTATTTACTAATATTGATAAGGTGCATTTAGTTGAATTGCATAAAGATTATCTTGAATGTGCATGTGACAATGTACTCAAAGTCAGGTGGGAAAAAGCGTTTTTTCTAACATGATGTTCTGGTAAAATGAAAAGAATTGTCCAATTGTGAAGACATTTGAAAAAGATTTAGGCTATAAAGCACCA